ACTTCCTTTGAAGATTTGAAATTAACTACAAAGATAGCTCTGGATTAGGACATCTTAATCTGCTTAAATGTATATTAAAGGGATGGAGAAAGGTCCTGGAAGTAGTTTTGTATGTATGTCTTAGAAACTAGAATATTTTTGAAGGAAGAAGCCCATGAAAAGGTAAATGACAAATTATATAGTGTATTTTAGTGCTGCCAGATTTTAAAAAGTGAAATGAAATTCCTTTGTGTGTATTAGGTAACTTGACTGAGGAGGCCCTCGGTTGTTGTCAGAAACTTTTGGATATTGATTCAAGAAGTGGTCCAGCTCTGATCATTTTAGGGATTCAGTCCCTCCAAGAAAGAAATTACAATGAGGCTGAAAAAAAGCTTACAGAAGGTAAGTGATAAAAGAAGGAAAGTGGGTCAGTAATCTCTTGCAATGATTGAACTGAAGTGGGGTTTTATCCTGTTTATACACATCTCATGTTTCTTATGCAGACATAATTGAATTTGACCTAACCTTTGTGAACTGCACCTATGGTTGCTATGTTTCCCTTCTCTCCCTCTACAATCCATTGAAATTGCTGCTAAAATGACAGTCTGTTCATCATAAAATTATTTAATCGCCAATTTGCCCAACAGTATTGTATTGACTTTTTTGATATTTAACAACAAATGCAAGATTATTTTGGGTACAGTAATTCTATGGAGTATGAATTCAATATGGCAAAGACCATCTGTTATTATTTGTTTATGATATGTTAAATCATACTTTCCTACCAGGTTTGCAGCAGTCCAATCAGTGTCCAGTAGGATGGTGTTACTTAGGGAAGGTGCAAATGAAAATGCATAAATACCAAGAAGCTGTTCATTCCTGCAATCAAGGTAATTGTAGACCAATATAAAATGTTATTTATAAAAATATAGACTGCTTTGTCATAAAACATTTCATAATGTGATTATTATAATAAAGTTGTGAAAAACACTCAGAGTAATAAACAATACTTTCAAAATTCAGTCAAAACATGAATTGCAGATTTTACCCTGATCTTTAGCAGTCAGAAGCAATTCTAATAAAGAGGTTTTCAAGTCAGTTTTGAGAAAAACTGGGATTTGCCTAAAAAATAATTTCACGATGTCAATATTAATACTATAAAATTCCTCACCAGTTGTAATAGTTCTTACAGTAGTGGAGACTTATAAATTTTTAGTATATTTAATTACATGTGTGAATATTATTTCAGACTTCCTCGATTCTAAAAAGAATTGGTTTATTGGATTTTATTATATTAAAGATTTCAGATATATGAGTATTTTTTTCTTGTTTTTTAAAAATATGGTAAATATTTTACACATTTTTTTAAAAAAAAATCACAAAATTATGGAGCTTTATTACTGGTATCTTTCTAATTAGAAATATTAGATTATTTAACCTTTAAGCCTATACATGATCATGATAGAGAAACTGAATTGTTTACTTGTTTACAGCTTTAAAGAGTCTGGGACAACTTAATGACCCAAGTTTCATTCAGCAACAAAAAAATATTGCCCAACATTTCAGAGCAAGAGCCTTCATTAAAATTCCAGGTGCTAACTATGCCGATGAAGCCATATCTTCCCTCAGTCAGGTATATGAATAGCTTAAAAATAGCTTTCATTAATAAAATCTTATGTCAGCTTTTAAGAAATATTAGGGGCCTCAGGCCTCAACTGTACTCACCCAGATTATGGAACTGTATTAGCTTGGCAATCAATGGTTAGATCTGGATTGCTCTTTGATCTTAATTTTTGTGGGAGAATAGAGGCACAAACAACCATGATAGTGAGGAAGAAAATCATTCCAATTTCATATTATTCATCAAGGGGTCTGGAGATACAGCCCAGAGTTTATTGATCTGGCAGTTCTTTTTCTGCTTAGTATGAAACCTTTCTGTCCCTTTGTTTCACTTTAGAAGAATTTGCACCTCTTTTAATTGTAATCTTATAATATAGGACTAGATATGTTAAACTGAATTATATATTTGTAAATTAAAAAAAACAAGTCATATTAACTGTTTTTAAAATTATAATATGCTTCCTTCTGGCATGGTATTTAAAATGTTAGAAAACTTATGCCGGGCTGCAGTTGTAATCAGCATTTATTAGTTAGATTCCATAAATATAGTGAATATAATTTTCCATGCTACCCTTAACAAATACAAGGGAATTTTACCTTCAGAAGAATTTTATGCATATTATCTGCTGTGTAAATCTTTTATTCTCCCAAAGTAATTGCTGAATTCTTAGAACAACCAGCCAGTCTCTAGCTAATGACTTATATAAGGTATATTCTTTATATTCATTTTAACAAAAGCCATCTAGATTGCTAGGATTATTTAATTATTAATTGATGGTCAGATTTTAAGGAGCTGTACAACTTTTCCTTCATGCTCAAGCATCTTTCTTAAACTGCTATTTGTTAATCCATTGTTAAAGCTAATGTTAATATTATTGCTATCAAAGATATCTTAAGAGAAATGAGTATGTACAAGCCCTAAAATAGGCTCCTGAAAGAATCTCTGGAAGATAGCCAGAATGACACTAACAGAATGCTGAAGGGCGGCGAGATGAGATACCTTTGGCATATAATTTATTTATCTGACTCTGGATAGTATACAAGGATAAAAATATAAACTGTAACATGAAACCCATGGTATCTACGGTTAAAACAAACCCAATCACAACAAAAACAGATCAACAATAGCAGAGCTTGCCTAATCTCCTGGCCCAAATGCCTAGAGAAATAAGTAGGTGTTCAGCATCTTGAGAAAACTTAATCAGATGACAGCCTGATTCAGTTGGATCTCTGGAAAATGCCATTGTCCCCTATGATAACCACTGCCAGACAGAAGGCATGATTCCGTTGTCCAACAAGATATGTTTTGATGGAAGGGACCTGGACCATGATCCATCTGATTAATGGATATATGAATAGGGTTTTTTTTAAGTAAATGGCAGGCTGTTGTAGAGGCTAGGAGATTTTAATGATCATAATATCCATTGAAGTTTTCAGACTTCAGACCTACAATTGACAAGGGAAGAAATCTTTCTATGCTTGCTTGTGGATAATTTTCTTTTGATGTGACTAGGTATTAGGGTTTGGTTACCCTACCTTACTGCCCATCCCTGCTCCCAATGCTAGGATATGATTATTTTTTTCTATGCATCCAGTAACTTAAATGATGAAACCTTTTTGCAGTTTGCTGAGACGTTATGTAAACTCTGCTGAAAATAGTATTCTCAAATTGTATAATCTATTCATAATATTTTAGAAGTGCCAGTGTTATTATGTAAAAGATTTGGTATGGACTCGGTTACAGTCATGATTAATGCACCATTGGAAGACCTAAAAGAACAGATTAGGGCTAAATTGTCATGCTGTGTGGTCATTAGGATTAAAAAATGACTCGATGGTATATAATCAGTCAATATATAGCAATCTGTGATATGGCTTTAGTTTTCTGAACTTTCTGAACTTTGAGACTGTATTTCTGGTTTCTAGATCTTGGATAGAAATAATGATCCAAAGCTTATAGCTCTTAGAGGACAGGCCTATCTAAAGAAAGATCTCACTGATGAAGCTTTGAAGGTTAGTATCCTTCTCTTTTAGTAAGTCGCTTTTTATTTTAAATATGACATTGGTGGTGTGTACAACACTGAGAATTTTACATTGTACTACATACAGATTGCACAAGAGCTTCAGTTGGCACATCCAGACCTGGCAGAAGCCCACTTCCTTGAAGGATTGATACATTATAGGCAAAAGGAATATCATCAGGCAGAAATGAGGTACCTTCATATTCATTCTTGGGGGGTTGGAGAAAAGGTGCAATCTAAATATTTAAGTAATTGTTTTTTCTTAGTTTCCAGAGAGCTATAGCAAAGGAAGCTGAAATAGCTGAATTCCATTTTTGGCTGGGCCTCACTTACTGGTTTATGAATGAGGAGACAAGAAAAGATAAATCAAAAGCCCTCACTCAATTTCTGAAGGTAAAATATAAGTGAGGTCACTTACTACTTCATACAATTAATAATTATTTCCCTTTCTCCAAATCTGTGGATGTTGGCTGCAAGAATAAGCAACAGAAGAACTCAGAACATTGGGAGAGAAGCAAGAGTCCATTTCCTTTCTCTTATTGGTCTTAGCAGCGAATGAGGTTGGGAGTTTGAGTCAAGGGCATCACTGGAAAGAGGATACATGCAAGAATCCTAGGAGTGATACAACTGGGATTTTTTTTGTTAGTATATCTCGTCCAGATTTGAACCTATAAAGAGGGATAAACTGGTTGTCAATTGTGTACTGTAAACAAATTTGGCTTGGAAGTAAAACTCTTGGTCTACAGATGTTGAGTCTTAGAAAAGATATTATAATGCCTATGATAAAATGGATGCTTTAGGAAGCAACTTAAACAAAAAGAAACTGGTCCTGGCCCCACAAACTTAATATATAAATGTTAGAAATAATAGCAACAGATGATAGAAATACAAAATAAAGCATATTCAAATTTTCTTTTAGAACAAAGGGTGTAATCCAGTGGCTACTCATGAGAAATGTACTTTGGCAGGTTTAAAGAACTATATAATTAAGAAAGAGTGAATCAGATGATTTGTTCTTTTGAACCTTCTTTATTTAATTTGTTTAGTCATTTATTATTTTGTACCTCCCAAATCACAATATATTGGTGCACAAAGAAAAGAGAAAACAAAAATCCATAATATTCCATCCTTCCATGCTCCTCATGAGGGGAAAGGAGGCTTAGAACTCAAAGTATTCAGACCAAATGAGCAAAATCATACTTGGGAAGGGAGTCCCTGATAATATCCCCATATTATTCCACTTAAGGCTTTATAGATCAGTGTTTCTCAACCTTGACAATTTTAAGGCATGTGGACTTTAACTCCCAGAATTCCACAGCCAGCAATGCTGGCTGTGGAATTCTGGGAGCTGAAGTCCACATGCCTTAAAATTGACAAGGTTGAGAAACACTGTATAGATGATAACCAATTCTCTAAAATAGGTCCAGAAGACTACTGGCAGTACGGTAAGTATTATCCTCAAAATGGATGTAATTTTGCAGCATTTGGTTTCCCCAATAGCAGCCTGACTGCTGCATTTTGTACAATTGCATCTTCATGTCATCTTTAAAGGCAGCCCCATGTAGAGCTTATTGTAGTAATCTACTTGCATAGTGATTAGGCTCTTTTGGAAGGGTTTTCTGGTAAGTTAATCTGTAACTGTCCCAAAATCCTGCCCATGGCTTCTACTTGCTGTTCAAGCAGGAGCTGAAAGAGACCTGCTCTTTAGGGGAGCATGACTCTATCAAGAGGAGTTGATGTTTCCAGATCATCCAGATGCTTGTGGATTAACAACAGTTCTGTCTTTGTAGGGTTTAAACTAAGTCTGTTTCTATCAGTTCTATACAGTAGAAGATTTATATACGCAACCCTTCAGTCTTGCTACTCCCAAAAATATCATTAAAATATAATGTGTATTAATGGATTACAATATAAAAGAGTGGATTAGTTTTAAAAAACTAAAATCTCAGTTCCAGAATGAAAAAGTAAAGGTTTTTTAAAAGAGTAATTTTAAAAATCATTTTAAACCAAGAAAACCCACCTTCTGGTCATCATCTACCTTACTCGTAAGAACAAAAGTACTATGAGGAAGGTCTCCAATAATTATTTTAATATGTAGATAGTTTCATGTGGCAGAAGCTGCTTCCTCAATTATCCAAGTTCCTGTAGCCAAAATTCATTGCATTTGTGTTTTGAATTACATTGATACAAAAGGTACCGCTTGACATATTTCATTTTTTATTTCTATTGTATACATCAAAACTGTTTTAGTGCAAATGCAAATAATAAATGGTAATATTGTGATATTTGTTTAACAGGCAGCAAAACTGGACAATTTCATGGGAGATGCTTTCCATTATTTAGGTCAATATTACAGAGATGTAGCTGGAGATAAAAACAGAGCTCTTGGCTGCTATAAAAAGGCTTTTGAAAGAGATAAAACAGATGGTGTTACTGGAGCAGCAGTAGTGGACTTGAGCACTGAGCTTGGAGACTTGGTAGGGTATATCTCATTTGCACTTTCTAATGTATCAGTAAACAAAAAAGTTGTATAAAGTCTGTATAAAAAAGAGGTTATGATGGAAAATTAACAAAATTTATAAATAAAGAAATTTACCTTAGAGCTTCCAGGTTACTTCTCCTCAACCCCAAATGTTTCTCACAGGTCTTGGTGATTTTGGTATACAGGTAGTCCTCGACGTACAACAGTTCATTTAGTGACCATTCAAAGTTACAACGGCACTGAAAAAAGTGATTATGGCTAGTTTTCACAATTAAAACTTTTGCAGCATCCCCATGATCATAAAATCAAAATCCAGAGGCTTGGCAACTGGTTCATATTTATGACCTTTGCTGTTTCCCAAGTTCATGTGATCACTTTTTGTGACCTTCTGACAAGCAAAGTCAATGGGGAAGCCAGATTCACTTAACAACCAAGTTACTAACTTATCAACTGCAGTGATTCATTTAATAACTGAGGCAAGATAAGTCGTAAAATGGGGCAAAACTAACTTAACAAATGTCTCACTTAATGACAGAAGTGTTGGGCTCAATTGTCATAAGTCGAGGCCTACCTATATAGAGGCATTGGGCACAACAATCAGAAACATTTAGGATACAATATAGCAGACACTTCCTACATTTTGGTGTGTTTGTTCCTCTGTCTTTCAGATGCAGTAATAAGGCCCTGAATAGGCTGTATCACACTTTCACTTACCCAGACTAATTTTGCTATCCCATTTGCTTCCTTACTTGTTTTTTCTAAATTTGCTCCTGCTGTGGATTTAGGTACTATTTAATATAGAGTAATATAGTATAGATATTAGTTATGTGAATAATTTATAGAAAATCTTGCCACTATTGGGAGAGGTTCTTTGTGTGAAATCTGACCTTTGCATTATGTTGTTGCTGTTGCAAAGAGACAAATAATGGTTTAGGGCAGTGGTTCTCAACCTGTGGGTCGGGACCCCATTTGGGGTCGATCGACCATTTCATGGGAGTCGCCAAGCAAGGCTGTCCGCCATTTTTTTTGTCCGCCATTTTTTTGTCTGCCATTTTCCCCCTTTTCCGGCGGGTGCCTTACCTCCCTTGGGCTGGGCCAGCTGGTGGTCGGCCTGCTCCGTCTATGCCGCTTGCCAGCTACGCCTCGGCCGGCGCAGGGGGCGGAACCACGCATGCGCGGCGCTCCCGGGCAGGGAAAGTCCTCGACTTATGACCGGTTGGGTAGTCCTCGACTTACGACCGGTTTAGCCCTCGACTTACGACCGGTTTAGTCCTCGACTTACGACCGGTTGGGGTCACGGCATTAAAAAGGTTGAGAACCACTGGTTTAGGGGTTTTTTTTCTCTTTTATCTGGCATTTTTGTTATTTTTCAGCCAATAGAGGGAGCTGTCTGGACGAATGTTTTTATGCCTCATAATTTTGATAGCAACGCAAGGCATAGTAATTTTACTTATTATAACAATTTGACAAAAACTGGCAACGCCAACTTTATTTCTTAAATCAAACTGTGGTTGCTGTTGGCATATTCTCAGTAACATGGAACGGGTTTATAATTACAGATACATAATAAGAATGAATGTAGCAATGAATTACTATAGCCCATTGTTGGGAAATGCTAGCACTTTTGAATTTAGCAATATTTTTAGCATTAGTTTGAAATTAAAATCAGCCTTTGTTTCTGTTCAGAGGAATACAAGTGTAGCTTCTAGATAGGCTTAAGCTGTGTGTGGTTCTCACAAATGTAATCTTTTAGGGTTTGCTTTTAATTCTACAGTAGGAAATGTAAGAAATACTCTGAGAATGCTGTTCTTATCTTTGTTTTATTTTTCTCAATTATATGCCCCATAACAAATCTTTCATAATATTTTGCTTGTGTGTATTAGGAAACTGCCCTTGCCATCTTGACAGAGGTAACAGAACAAGCAAGTGCTGGGAGAGCAAAATGGGCCTGGCTTCGCCGAGGACTTTATTATCTAAAAGTGGGACAACATTCGCAAGCCGTGGCAGAGTAAGAACATTTAACAAATTGCATTTTGTTATTTTATGCAGAAGGCAAGCTTAACTGGTAGTCTGATGATATCTGTGCACATTTCTTTTTAAAAAAACAAACAAACCCTTTTTTTCTCTGTGAATGTTGCTATTTGGTGCTAGAATGCAGTAATCATTAGAAGTCTTCTGTATAAAACAGTGTGCTCCTTTGTCTTATGTCAATGGAATATTATGGAGCAGTTCTTCTAGGCACTGAGAAAATGTTTATCTTCTCCCAGATAGTACTTCTAGATATTAGAGGTTGCTGTGTTGAAATTTGGCATGGTGTTGCAGAAGCAACCAATGCCATTCTGTAGTTTACCAACAGCAACCTATTGCTACCTCTCTGCTACTTCTCTTTGGGTAATTGCATAATCTAAACATCAGGTAAAAGTGTGGTGTCTTGAAGCTTTTAAAAAAAGAATATTGGAAATATATTCTTTTTTATTATTTATTTATTATTATTTAATATATTTTATATATTCTTTTAATTAGTATTAGATTTAAGTTTTTACAGTTCAGTATTGTCTGTTTGGTATAAGATAGAGAGCAGTTGGAGGGCCAGCCGAACCGTACCCGCCCGAACACAGGTTAGGATACATGTTAGATCCTACCTAGTGGCGATGAGGGAGGCTAGGACTAACTACTATTCCTCGCTCATCGCGTCATCAGATAACCGCCCGGCCGCCCTCTTCAGGGTGACCCGCTCTCTCCTCCAACTGAGGGGAGGGGGGGATCCCCT